GTAGTAAGGGATGGTTATAGTTGGGAGCTGGAAGGGACATCCTTGATGAGCTAATAAGCTCTTTTTGTCCCTTTAAAATTTTATGAATACTGAATTCATGAATATTCTCACTTTAAAAAAATAATTTTGCTTGTTTTTTGGATAAATAGTTCATTCTTTCTGAAGATCAATCATTTGTTACCCTGTATGATTGGTGAATTTTATATATTTTCACATATACGATAAGTAAGTAAATGCTGGTGTCTCCCTTATATTTGTTGGTATGCAGTAGTAGGGGTTTTCTTTCATAATTTCTTTGGTGAAAGGGGAATTGTATTTGGTGACTGATGTGGCATTGGGCATTTGAATATGGAAGGAGTATTATGTCTATAAATATCATCTGGTTGTTTTTCCAATGATTATTTTACATGTATAAAATGGTATAGTTTTCAGGGTACCTAACTTTCTCAAACCTAAAGTTATCATATAGAAATAAAATTCATATTTTCATAAAATCTATGGGTAGATTAGGTCTCAAGGGAAGCTTCCCCCTGCCTTATGGAAAGAAAGTCCCTGTGTTAGCATACTGTTGATATTTGCATGTTAAGTAAATAGATTTGACTGGTGAACTATAGGGTGTTTGTGTAAAATATGACAATTAAAATATTTCTTTGTTAATTATTGGTATATATTGTATCAATATTTTGTTGCTGTATATGCAGTGCACAACTTTATAATATCAAATTGTGGAATATCTTTTTTTTATTTAATTGTCACTGTTATATCTATGATAGGTATTGACGTGCTGATATATGTTCATAGGACTTGTGTGACATCTGGTATATGTTTCACAACTAAACAGTAATTACCAAAATACACCAACAGTTTTACAACATTCATGTCATTGCTGAAGACTAAGTATATCCCTTGTGATTGTAGATATTTCATTTTATTAATTTATACACAAATGATAAATGAGAAAATTTTACATATTTACAATTAAAATGTATTTCAACCAAGCACATAGCTCTGAAAATACTGATAGCCTTTTCTTGTTGAGTTGGTCTCAAGAACATGCATCAACTTACCCACAAATCTTCACTTTCTAACCTTCCGCGTGACTTACTACACATGCAGCGAGAGAACTTACATAAACTTTGCCTTCTTGCCATAAGATAACATTTTCCTTAGCTGAAAATGTAGTTCAGATAGATAGTAATTTCTCCACAGAACTAAGAACTTCATGCCACTGCCAAGATTTTTGCATATGCCACAGACTTTGGATGAATCTCCTATTCCTACATGTATATTAACATGGACTGTTCCAGCCTAGGATGTAATCCTCATGATACAGTAGTCCTCCACCAATAAGGTTATACATCCTCTCTGTGCAATAAACCACATGAGCACTAGCATTTCAACAAAAGCTCATTCTTGATGAAGAAAATGCAGTCTCCCACTTAGTGATGCCCCACTAGTTCCCTCCCATAGTGGGTGACATACTCCATCAGTTTTCCTTTTCTGATGCTATAATTTCGGAAATGAATTCATCTTTTTAATTTCTTTATTCACACTGGCTCATCCACCATTTTATCAATGTGGTATTCTACCTCTTAGTTCTGTGGAGAGGTGAGTAGCATTTTTTGAAGTTAAAATTTTCCTTACCTGATAATGTATTTTAGATAGATACCTCTCCACAGAACCTCCCACCCATCCTTCCCACATCTGATGTTTTTCCTCCTTATGCAGGGAAAACTCTTCACTCAATAAAGGTGGCAGAGCAAAAGGCGTTATCAAAAAAACATCTTGTATGTTGTTAATGTAGCAAAGGTGGTCAGAACGAAAGACAATCAACCATTACATCTCAGGCTGTTGGCTGAGCATGAGTATGTAGTGTGGCAAAGGAATAAGTCAAGCCATACAGTATTGGATAAATACTTACTATAATAAACAGGTGCTTGAGGAATTATCCTGGACCTGTATCTCAAGGAAAATGCACAACTCATCCAGCTGCTATAGCCACTGGTAATGGCTTGGTCCATAGTGTAATGGAGTGGCCTGTAGTACACTTCCAGATAAACACCCCAAACACCCTAGTCCTACTTCCACTCAATCATGCACAGGTGGGATTACATCAACTCAAAGGTGAACTCTCCATATCAACCTCAAAAGTGGCTTGGGACTGGAGAAGCAAGAATTCTCACTTTACACCACTAGAAGAAATCAGGAGGGGGAAATTTGAATGTGGAAGGGAAAATGTGAAGATATGCTCAGACCAAAGAGGAATCATCACTTCTGTATAAGGTTCCAATCTCAAACGCAGGCACTTGGCAGGGACAGATAGGCTGAACACCATCTGTTGTCCCCTACTCAATCTCAAAAG